TACTTTGTTCTTTTCGCAATTCACCCTATGACACTCTATTTTAGTTTTTTGACAATCTTTGATAAGTATCTCTTTCTTTGTTTTCTTCAACAAGAATATCACTTTGGTGATTTAGTGTGCGCTCAACTCATCGAGGGAGCAAAGAATGAGAACCTTGTCGTGAAGGGCCCCATTCGTCTCCCAACCAAGGTACTCCGCATCACTACTCGCAAAACTCCTTGCGGAGAGGGATCCAAAACATGGGATCGTTTTCAGGTAACTTTCAATTCATTTTATGTTAATTAATCTTACTTCACTTCCGTCTTTGTTTTATAGTCATACATAGTACTAATATCGTCTGATACAAGCTCCTCTTTCCAGATGCGCATCCACAAGCGTCTGATCAACCTGCACACACCTGCTGATCTCCTGCGTCAGATTACCTCAATCTCCATCGAGCCCGGAGTCAACGTTGAGGTCACTCAGGCCAACTAAGCGAGCATCATCAGGTGGACAGGAATTGTTTGCACATGGCTGCCTTGTTCCTTGTTATCCGCCATTAAATTGATTTGTTGTCTTTGTTCTCTGTGTATATACACATAAAGAGACGTTGATTCTAATTTTGCTACCTAGTGTTTGTTACATAAAAAGATTGGGTACTGTTGTTCCGCAGTGAACTGATATCGAGCATCTTTTACAACTGGGCTTTAATAATCACAGAAATGTTCCCAAAATACTACTTTAAAATGTGCTGTCATGCGGGATCCACTGGTCAAGTAATGGGTTGTCCATGGGATTACTGAAAGAGCTTTACTTTTGTGCTATATTTCTCATTCGCTTTCATCGTTTCCTAGCAACATTGCTGTCAATATATACTCTTTTCTGTTGTTATTCGTCTTATATCATTCTTATCTAGTTTCCATTTATCATACCTGGTTTTCACTTTTGACTCTATTGTTGCATTTTAAGCCACTCGAGCTTCATTTTGACTTTTGTCCCCATCTGTTGAGACATGACTCATATTTTGAAACCACTGCTTTGCTTGTGTGCATGCGAGAAGCGTCAATGTGATGGGCTGACTCACTCGCACATTGAATCGTGTATCTATTAGCCTTTGAGGTATGCCTGATTGGCTTCCTCGTGTTTTCTGCCATTTGGTGCGCTTGAATCGAGCCACTTGGGTCGCTTATTCCCGCCCATGCTTTTGAAACTCTCACATCGCTTTCATTTTTTCTTTTCGAACTGTACATCTGCGTCCTCT